GAAAAGCTATTCCAATTTCGGAAATCAGATCAGATGCATAAGGTCAGGAATCAAATTACATGTTATTAGAGATGCACCGATCGGAATCGAACGATTTTCCTCATGATCGGCCCGGATCGGTGATCGGTCGGTCAGTCTCACTTCTTTCCGATTTCGAGCCGATCCGTTTTGTTACCAAGCGGCACAGGCAATAACGTCAGCCGCGCATTCTCGCTCTCTTCTCTCCGACAACCGCTTCTCTCTCACACGCACGTCTCATTCGATTTGGTTAAATAGTGCTTGTATTGCGCATTATTTTAGTCATTCCTGTAGGTTTCGCGCTTATACCAAACGCGCGAGCACCACCACTGATCTATATTAGTGGAGCGCACAATCCGCGCTCAGTCTCAATCAGCTTGTGAGCCACAAATACCAAAACGAGTGGCTATTGCTAACTGTGCTAAAACCTTCAAATACATAAAAAAATTATGTAAAAATGCCCATTTTGGCGAGTATCCACTATCCAGTTAAACACAAGTCAGTTTTGGAACGTTAAATAGTTGAGAACGCATGTTGTGTAACAGTATATTGGGTCCATGGATAAACTCTTAAAGGGACCGCAGTCCAATATTTATGCTGCTGTCTGTCATGTTAATCAAAGAACAAAAGACAAAGAAAACCAAAACAAAGTTACTGGGTTAATCTTTTTCACGTTTCCTTGGTTGGTCGATGCACCGGGGATCTGATTATAGCACTTAAAACCTGGAAAAGTCAGATTTTCATGATATGTCACCTTTAATGTCTCATCTGAAGCTCAGGATGACCTACGAGGAGGAGAGATGTGTCTGAAGAGCACTCAGGCAATAGTCCGTCAGACTCATTGAATATGTAAACACCATCGAAGTCATACTCTGATCCTCACACTGTGGGCTCTGCGACAAACGTGGCAAGCAAATGAACACCGGGCCTACAATGGATAAACACAATGGAGACACTGTCTAGACCTTGCACATACATTCATGATGTAAAGACAATGAAGGCAAGCCCAAGGTGACCTCAAACTGTTCCTCAGTGCAACTTCAATTAGTCTGCATATACTTTATGGTAGGCCTGGGCGATAAAACGGTATCGATATTTATTGACGGTACACCTTCTTCGATATCGCTAGAAAAAATGTTTGATATAGCGCACGATATAGGCACGTGCTATGAGTGGCGCAGACAGCACACACAAACACGAACACGAGTGCTGTGCCTGCCTGCGATGAGGAGATTGTGAATAAAGAATGAATATTAGTCGAATTTAAAATAAACATTTGCATTTGAATGTTAGGTGTGCATCAGGGAGCGTCATCAGTGGCGCACGAGATACAGTGATGATGATGTAAGTGACGTTATTGCATTTTAATGTTTTGTTAGTCTAGCCCACGAGACGCGCCGCTGCTGTGTTATTCGTTCAAAATATCAGAGAAATATAGTATCAACACGCTCAAAACTGTGGAGATGACCGTGGACTTCAGTTTTTCCACTTCAAAAGATGTTAATTGATGGACTGGAGTAATGTGGATTATTGTGATGTTCTTATCATCTTTGGACTCTCATTCTGATGGCACCCAATCACTGCAGATGTGATGCATTCCTATATTTCTTCAAATCTGTTCGGAGGAAGAAAAACTCATCTACATTTTGGATGGCCTGAGAATGCATACATTTTCAGCAAATTTTCATTTTTTGGGTGAACGATATAATTTTTTTCAATAACGGTGATATGATTTTTAAACACATTTCCGATATTTCGATATACATAGTCACCTGTGTGTACTAGGATGGCCGAAGGAGATGAATCCCTGGAACTTTTTCCCCCGGCTTTATACGATAAGTCTGTCGTATGGGAATTTTTCGGGTAACGTAGACTAATCATGTTCCGTACACAACGATGTTCCTTACAGATGACGTTTTAGCGCCGATCGCTAAATAAATACTTCCAAGTCGAACATAAACTATATATCTGTGTCATCTTCGGTTTTCTCCCTCTTTCATCCCCGATCAAGACAGAGACCCACCCACCGTTTGTTTCAGTGTTGAAATAAATACTATTTGGCTTGCTACCGAGGGAGGTAACATGGCTAATTAACTAGCTAACGTCAACTAGTTTCCTCCCTCACGTTACTTCACAGAGTGAGGAATAGCAGTCTAAAGTACGTACTGTAGCCTACTTTTCTGCGATTTAGTACAATAATTAAATTTAGCTGGTATCACGTCTATACTTTTAAGCCTCCTGCCATTGTTTACATCTGTTCAAAATCACGCATTAAAAAAAAA